CTATTTCCTGATTTGGTGGGTCATACACTGGTCATATGTGCTTGCTCTTGTTAATGAAGAAGAAGGAGGAGGAAAGGAAAGAAGGAAAGAAGGAAGGAAGGAAGGAAGGAAGGAAGGAAAATACTGGAATGTTCAAGAGTAGTGGAGAATAATACCTACAATTTGTTCTCAAAATATTCAGAATAAGTACTAATTATGTATTATGTATTGTATGTTATGTATGTAATATATATATACAAAGAGACAGAGAGAGAGAGAAAGAGAAAGAGAGAGAGAGACTTTGATACTAATTCCTAATGCCATAGGGACATAGAAAAACATTATATAATTACCCCTTGGTATCTTCAGGGGATTGGTTTTGGGACTGCTGTGGATTTTACCAAACTCCATGGATGTTTAATTCTGTTACATAAAATGCCATAATAACCTGTGCGATCCTTCTGAATACTTTAGATCATTTCTAGATAATACCAAACACAATGTAAATGCTATATAAATAGTTATAAGTGTATTCTTAGGGAATAATGACAAGAAAAAGGATTGCTACATATTCAGTGTTGGTGCATTGTTTTCTCTGAATGTTTGGGATCCATGGTTGGTTTAATCTTCAAATGTGGGACTCGTGGAAACAAAGGTTAGACTACTCATTTTCTTTTTGTCAGACTCATATGGTAATTTTTGTGCAGAGAAAGAATCCCCAATCAGAAGGCTGACGTTAAAAACATCAAGCAATCAGGAGGCAAATGATCTGTTGACGTTCTCCCAATAGACCATAAATATCTGACTCCTTGCTTTGGCTTTCAAAAAGTAGTCACTACCAATGCCTGTGGGTCGTTGTCACTGCCCACCTTTGACTAACACAGTCCAAGTCTGTGTGGGCCAGCTCCAGAATTTCCACAGAGGGTGGGATTTGCAGCAAACTGGCTTAAAGGAAAGACCAGGGGCTTGCCTTAAACCTTCATTCACAAAGCAAGTACACCACTTCTATCTCTACTGCATATGATCATACCCTTTGGGTAAAGGGTGTGATCATGGAGGGGCTAATGTGCCCATCAACAACCCTGCTACCTGCCAAGCCAACCCTTGTCAACACCTCAAATTTGCACATGACTGAGTCAAGGCAAGGCGTAGTAGAACCTCCAGGCTAACGTCCCAGGAAACAGTAACAACTTGGACTAGCTGATGAGTAATTAGATCAGTAATTTTAGGAAGGGTGGGGCAGGCTGTACCGAGAAGGGTACTTTCTCAAGTGGCATGCAGTCTGGCCCAGCCTGAAGTGTATGAATGATTCACATCTGAGGCATGGGAGTTGGTGATGTCATGGGTAAGGGAGGAGTTCAAGGCTGTATGTGGACAGAACAGGAGCTTGGGGTCAAGTGCTGCACAGGCCAAGCCAGTAGGGGAAGAGGGAAGAGGAATAAAGCAGAGGACATGAACCTAGAGGGGTGGTGACAAGGGGTTGGGTACAACCCAGGATGTCAAAACCTTTCTAGTCTCATGGTCAGGCTAAGACCAACACATACCTTTCAGACTAAATGAAGTAATTAAATTGTCTTGGGCAGAGGGGAGGGGAGTGCTGGACTTTAAGACCCAAGTAAGCAAGAAGGTAGAGAGAGGGAGGAGCTACAGGTGGCCCCAACTCCACGTCCACTCTCTTCCTGACCTACTGGCAGGTCAGCTGACTCTCTGGTTTTGTTCACTAAGCACAGCGGTCTAGGTAATTGTAAGAAGGATTTAAAGCTTCTTTGGAACTCTGCCCTGTGCCTTCGATCACATAGTGTTAGGTAACCTCAGTCCTGAAATTAATCTTTCTCTCATATTCCACACAGAGCAGTTTCTCAACCTCTGACTACTATCTCTTCCTTGAGGCCTAGCATGACTACAAAGGACAGGAGAGAACGAGGTGGATGAACTGCAGCAATGTCTTATTGATACACAGGACATCTGCCTGAGCATCCTCCACCCTCACATAGCCATTGTTAAGTGGGCCTGTGTGGGATGGCCCACATCAGGAAGCCCTCCCACTAAAATTCCAACATCTATATGGCCCTTCACAGGGTACAAAGTTCTGTCAAGTACGTAACTTAATGGGACCCATCAATAACTCCTGCAGAACTGGGGACAGTGGTACATGCCTATAATCTCAGGACTCAGGAGGCTGAGACAGGCAAGTTTGAAACCAGGTGGGCTACATAATGAGTTCAAGATCAGGCCAACTACGTAGTGTATTTCAAAACACTTAGGAAGGAAGGAAGAGAAAGAAAGAAAGAAAGAAGAAGGAAGGAAGAAGAGAGAGAGGGAGGGAGGGAGGGAGGGAGGGAGGGAAGGAAGGAAAGAAGGTAGAAAAAGAAAAAAAAACTCATACAGGTAGGCAGAAAAAGAATTATTATCCCCATTATGTAAATGGAAAAACTGCTTCAAGGGTGAAAAGTAATATATTTAAAGTCACAGGAGCTCACATTGGAAGCCAGACTCCTGTGCTCCAAATGTCTCTAGGCCATCATCTGTAAAAAGCACACAAACTCTCAGCTCTTGCACAGACACTCTCACAAGCATCTCTCCCATCCATTGCAGGCCTGAGCTCCAGGAAATGCCTCCACTTGCATATAAATTCCAAGACAGAGGACACAAAATCCTCAAGGCCAGAGAGGAGGTGGCTCGGTACCTGCAAGAAATGCAAAAGGTTTGTGGCCAGGAAACAGGACAGCTCTTAAGTCAAGGGTGCATAACAACTCTAAGTCACCCATAGCTTGGGAATCTACCTTTGTGCACTCATTGCTGGAACAATATACATTTGCATCCTGGTTTACACAATTGTTAATACTTCAACATTTACCTAGAAGGAATGAGAGCAACTGCCATTTGAGTACTTCCTGTATATCAGAGACCCTGTTAAATGCTTTCTCTTTTAATCTTGGGAAGTGGATACACTTGTCATTTCTACAGATGAGGAAATTAAGGCCAAGGTGAAACAATGTGCCCAAGGTCACAAGGCCGGCTGGAACAAAGGCTAGTCTCACTGCAAAGCCTTGTCTTCCCTCTGTCCTGCACTGATAATGCCTTGAGCCTGGTTTCTGCCATTTAGAAACTTGCAATCACACTCAGCCACTCTGTTGGGTATAATCACAGGTCAGAAAGCGTTTGAACTAATGTATACTCAAAGGAGAATGGCTAATGGGTAATTTGACTTATAGGAATTCCCACTTGAGTTATACTGATTCCCCTTGCTCCAGCCCAAAGAAATAAGAGGTTGGCTTAAGTTATGGCTGATTCCCACCCCCCAGCAGGAATCTGGCACACTCAAAGGAGAAGCAGCCAACCTGAGGCGTGAGTGTTCAACTGTTTTACAGTGTGTGCCTCAGTTGCTACCTGGCTACAACACTGTGTACGTGTGTTTCTCTGTGTTTTGAAAAATGAGACAAAAGTTAACATGTAGCATCTCCAGTAAGTGCTGATAAACATGCAAAAAATTCATATATTTAATGTTTTCATTCATAGAAAATGCATGCAGATCTGTTCTATCAGCCATCTGGTAAAACAGCCAGACACCTAACAGAGATGTGATCAGATTCAGAATCTTGTAGTTGGTGGATGCCTTGGCGAGATTTGTAACTAAATCAGAGCTTCAAAGTTTTGAATTGTAAAGACAAAAAAGAGAAATAGGAAAACATTCCAAAATGATCTATTTTACTAGTTAGATGGGGTGACAATCAATACAAGTGTTGTACAGATGGTTGGATGTCCAGGTCCTTACATAGCACTGGGTGCGTACAGTCCCAAGGCTTTCCAAGAGAGAGCTCTGGAAGCTTATCACCAGTACACAATCCCCACTGGCAAGGCTTGGTTGCTGGACTCTTTAGAATGGCCCTTTGTTTAGATAAGTATGTTTTTAACAGAGCCAAGGTTGTGTGTTTCTAACTATCACTTGTGGACAAAAAAGAGAAAATTTCTATTCACTGGACTTAGACCACCACACAACTTTGATGCACTGTCTCATGGGAAGCAGGGCTAGCAACTTTTGATAATTCACAGGAAAGCCCCAAAATGCTCCTTAGTAATGCACTGCTCATGCATTAATGAAATGGCAAGCATGCATGGAATTGTCACCTACATGCAAAGACGACATGTCTGTGACTGAAGTTCACTTTACTCTCCAACTTAGAAAAGACAAGTAGGAACGTTGAGCAGGCCCTTTACTTCTAAAGTGACATTCCAAGACCAGGTAATGAAGAGGGAAAAAAGTGTTCCAATGACAATAACACATTAAGGGGGAAACATTTTGTCAAAATTACTAAGTTAAGAAAAAAAAACTGACTTACAAAAAAATTGCTTTGGGGAGCCTTTATAATGATTACATTCATAAGACTAAATTGTTGCCAATATTCAGTCACTTCTCAAATTACATGCTTGAGAAATTTCTAAGCAATTTTGGGTAGCTGCAACTTGCTGACAGAAGGCAATAAAGTAACAGTGCTACAAAACAAAGCACTTTTGTCGCACCCCGGGGACTTCCACTTACACGTCCAGCACAACTCCGATCAGCGTTACAAGCGCGTTAATAATCACTTTGCCCCAATCTTTACACGGCTGTGCGTGGCTCAAGCTTTCTCATCGGACACATCATCGCACCGCACAGGGGTAGTGAAAGCTGAAAAATGCCACCTCTCTAGGCCCCACGGGGGAACCTGAGTTTGTCACCTCCGAAAAGCAGCACCTGTGCCGGGCGCAGAGTGCGCGGCGCTCTCTGCATCTCTGCCAAGGCGACACAACACAACCCCGGCTTTTGCATCCCCATAGCTTTTTGCTCCCATTAAAACTAAAGTGAGGAAGGGAAAGATGCGCCACACACCCGCCGGGAAAGTTCTCTCCCCGGATTTTGGAGTGGATTGGGGCCCACGCTGCAAGCCGTGGGCTGGGGCCGGTGGAGAGCCCTGCGCCCCGCGTGGAGAGCCCGCCGCGGCTCTGTCCGCCCCCAGCGTCCCGCACCGCACCTCACTCACCGCTCACGCTCGCCCGCGCCGCCGAGCCCGGGAGCCGGGGTCCCTGCGGCTGCCGCATGCCCTCGGGGCCCGAGCGCGACGCGACGGGGCCACCAGGTACCTGGCTCCGGCCGGGCGCGGAGGAGCAGCAGACAACACGGTGGCCGAGCACCTCCTCTCCAGCGGCCGCGGCGACGCGCCCGGAACCCAAGCAAACTTTGGCGGAGCGAGGGAGGGGATGGAGGGACCCGCCGCCCCGCCCGGCCCCGCCTCGCCGGGCGCGTCCAGTGTTCCCACGGAGAGCGCCCCCCACTGGCCAGGCCTCCATCCCCACGCGCGGGGGCTGCGGGAGCCCCGGAACAGCTCTTTTGCAGAGGCCGCTCTGGCCTGGGACTTCGTCCCCGGGAGGCTGGCTAGCCCCGAGGCAGGGAGCGCTCCCACTAAGGAATGCTAGCACCGCGGGCCCTACAGGGTCATACTTCGGAGGGAGCTTCTGCTCCCCCCGCCCCGCGGGGGAACAAGGGACATTTGTTTTGTGGCTTGGGGGTGGCAGGACGCACATCTCACAGCCACCACCTGTAGGAGGCAGGCTTCCTGCCAGGGCAGGGCTTGATACTAAGCTATGTGAGGTGCAGGCAACCCCCAGAAGTCAAGAATGTGCATCTGGCCTGGAACCTATCCTAGCCAGAAACATATGTAAGCTGCTTGTAAGAGGCTTCTTGGCCTTCTAGGATAAATAGTCCTGGACATGACTGCTTTCAAAGCGTTGGTTGACCCACTTTTTGGAAAGAAGAAAGATGCAAAGTAAAGCAAATGTCATAAAAGCTTAGTTCTCGCTCGCTGGACTGCAAAACAACATGAAGGAAGTTTTGCAAGGTGAGAAGTTCTTGCCACTCTCATGCCTCAAACCTTCTTGTAGCCCCTGACCACTCATTTCATTCATTCATTCATGTTGCATGTTCAGCACTGATATTGGGACCTTCTGTGTCCCCATAAGAAACCACATCCTAGAAAACAACGTGTCAGAAACTGTCCCCTGCCTTCAAAGAGATTCTGCTGTATCTGAAGACAATGTTTTAGTAATGTAATTTTCCTTACTCAGTGGATCTCATCCCACAGACCCTGACAGGATAGCATGCCTCAGTCCTTCACAGCAATAAGGCTGCATTTCTATCAGCACGTGCAAACTATCCTTGCTTCATCTGGGGATTCAGGAAATTACCGTGCTGTCTTGCAATTTGCAAAACTAATTCTAAAGAAAGATCATATGTTTATGAGAACAAAGCAGAAACCCTGCACATAATATATGAGAACCAGATCAGAAGAGTAAACAGCCCAACTCAAATATCACAATGCTGGGGAACAGTGTGGAGCACAAAAATTCTCAACCACCAGCACTTAGTGAAAACTCGAAGTAACAAATGTGTAGTATGTCAAGAAGTAAGCTGTATAAGCTGGACTGGGAACTGTAAACACCACCTAGGGCCTCCCTTTGCTGGGAAAATCTGTTCCAAATTACAAACAACTTATTAACAAAGCCACTTTGGAAACACATTATTTTGTGATTTGGGGACTTCCTGAACTTGAGTAGTGCAAAGAACAGGATCCTGCAAAGGCAAGTGTGATGACCCTAATGCGGGAATCCTAAAGAAGGAGAAAGGGTATGGCAAGCTGTGTTGTGAAAGGAAAAAGACATTCTAGCTACCACATGATTTTGGGGGGAGGCGGGGGACAGAATCAGGGTTTGAAATCAGGGCTTCATGCTTGCTAGGCAGGTACTCTACCATTTGAGCCCCTCTAGCAGCCTGTCTAGCTACTACATAATTTTTAACAAATGTGGTCAAGCATGAGGAGAAGGCAAGAAATGACGTGGGCAGACAGGAATGATAAGGACCTAGGGGCAGTAGTGGGGTGGGGGTAGGAGAGAGACAAAAAGCAAAGGACAATTAACAAGAAAGATAGGGCATGAAACTTAATTTTTAGAGTGAAGTTTAGGTACTATCTATCCACCAGAAGATTTTTAATGTCCTTGTTAGGTCTGGGATGTCTCATATCTTTACCAAAATACTTTATCAGCAAAACCAAGTTAAAATTAATGTTAAAAATGGCAAACATGAAGCCTGATGTTCTCTACATTGCCATAGAGGTCACTGGCTGGAAAGTCACTCAAAACCTTTTAAACAAACATTTACTGACTGGCTTTCTTGTGTTTTGTGTTCCTGAAGAGGCAAAGATTTATAATATTTCTGTTTTCCTTACAGGACAGAAAAGCAAAGCTGAAGGAACCGTGGCCTTGGAGACCTGGTCCAGCCAGTACTGACATGGCAGGGCATAGATGCTGCAAGGTAAATTGATAAATAAAATGTAAAAGCAACCGCCTCCTGCCGCAGTGAGAAGCAATGAGGCCCCAGGAAGATTTTTTTCCCCATCTGGTTTATGGAAAGAGACCCATATTCCCTTGTCCCCAACTCAGCTCATACCTACAGTCATGCAGGCAAGAATTTCCGTGTCCTTTACTTTGGAAAGTATTTGAACTGAGGCACTGTTGAAATGTGCTTGTCTAAACTAATTAGCTGTGGGGATGCCTACATTTATGGAAATGATGTGAGGAAGTGAGATGGCATATAGTGAGAGATGCAAGTGGTACCCCAAATCACAGTTAGCTAGAAGGTTCTTAGGAAAGACTGAGTATACAGTTAACTGCACAGAAGCCAAAGGAAAAGAGAGCTGGTGTGAGAAACGTAGGTGACTCTGCCCACTATCTCTCAAGTTCATGTAGCTTCAAATGGGAAGAAAAAGTATAGAAGTAGACCATAAATACCAAAAACTTAAAAAATCAGCATCAACATAAGTTCATTTACACTGAGCAAATCATATCTTATATGAAGTGTAGAACTCTAGATATGAAGTAAAAATACTTCTTGGATATTCACCTTGTCACTACTTAATTCCATATATTTTCACTCTTTCCAGAGTGAGAAAAAAATTTTTGGCAGTACTGGAGCTTGAACTGAGGGCCTTTCACTATGCCACGCAGGTGCTCTACCACTTGAGCTATACTCCAACCCTTTTCACTTTAATTATTTTTCTGAATAGAGTCTTGCTTTTATGCTGGACTGCAATGGATGGCGTGCCCGGCCATAGGTTGAGATGGGGTCTCACGAACTTTTTGCCTGGGCTGGCTTTGAACTGCATTCCTCCTCATCTATGCCTCTGAGGAGCTAGGATCACAGGCATGAGCCACGTTAAAGTTAGATTCTTACTGAAGTAATTTTCATATAGATTAAAGAATTAATTTGTCAAAGAAGAGAGAATTAAATAATTTCCTAATTAAATAATTAGAAAAAATTAGTATTTATTTGATTTTAAGTTTAGGAAGACATTTTTAAACATAAGAACAAGAGAAGAAATCTCAGAGGAAAATGTTAATTGACTACATGCAAATAGGTGTATCTGTATATGATAAAATAATCCCATAAGTATAAATAAAAATCACACCAGACACTACAGGGAAAAAACTATTTGCAAGGTATGATAGCTAAAAGATTAGCACCCTTCCTATATTACTTATTGAGAGGTATATAGAGAACTCTTAATAGTTAAAAGGTTAATACCAATACAGAAAAAAGTATATGAACAATTGGCAGAAAAAGAAATACAAGTGACTGAAGTATGTGAAAATAACTTTCAGTTGGTCTAACAATAAAAGAATTATGAATTAAAATGAACTAGTACCGCATATCAAATTCACAAGTTTTTGATTATAGAGATCTCCAATATTGACTAAGATTTAAAGGAAATAGGTAACTTCATGTGGTTCTGGTGGAAGTACAAATTAGTAAAACTTTTCTTGTGGGCAACTTACAATATAATGTATTTCAGTCTCAAGAGTACTTTTTTTTTGGGAGGGGAGCAGTACTGGGGTTTGAGCCCAGGGTCTCATACTTGCTAGACAGGCACTCTAGAACTTCAGCCACTCCATCAACCCTTTTTTGTGCTGGGCATTTTTGGGACAGTGTCTCATGTACTATTTGCCTGGGCTGGCTTTGAACCCCTATCCTCCTGATCTCTGCCAATTGTCCTTTAAGACACTGCAGCTCGCTGCCTCTGGGGGCATTCAGTGGATGAACCACAAAGAGTTGTAAGGAGAGTCAGAAGAATGAGGAAGTTCAACCAAGGTTTTTCTTCTCTATTGTGGATATACAAGAATAACATATATGCAAATTTTATGTTTAAATAAGCTGACTCTGAATAATTACAAAATAAAAGTTACAGATGGTAAGAAAGCATTATGTTTAATTGGCATGTTTTTCCTGACATACATACACATATAAAATATTAATGGTATATATTATAATTTATGAGATCTTGGGTGTAATGAACTATGATATAGCAAGAACCTTAACAGTGGACATTGACCGAGTAATTTCACATTTAGAAATTTATCCTAAAGACACCATGAAACACACACAAAGATTTTAACACCAATGTAAACATTTCAGTATTATTTATATAATTGAAATGATAAAAACAACATAAAAATGTAACCTAAAAGTCCAGGAAAAAAATTTTTGGCAGTACTGGGGTTTGAACTCAAGGCCTTGCAACCTGCTAGGTAGACACTCTACCACTTGAGATACAACCCCTAGCCTTTTTTTTGCTTTAGTTATTTTTTACATAGGGTCTTGCATTTTTTCTGGGGGTCAGCCTTGGGCTACAGCCCTTCTACTTATGCCTCTGGTGTGGCTGAGATCACAGCCATGCACCTCTATGCCCAGCTTACTTATTGAGATGGGGTCTTCCCACCTACTGCTGGCCTTGAACTGCAATTCTCCTGATGTCTGCCTCCTGAGTAGCTAGGATTAGAGGCAAGCACTATCACACCTACCCAATAGAAGACTGATCAAATAAATCATCGTATATCCACAGGATAGAATATTATGCAGCCATAGCAATAATTTTTTATTCATTTATTCATATATGCATACATTGTTTGGGCCATTTCTCCCCCCACCCCCCTCTCTCTCCCCCCACTCTCCTCATTTCCAGGCAGAGCTTTTTCTGCCCTTTTCTCCAATTTTGTTGAAGAGAAGACATAAGCAATAATAAGAAAGACAAAGCATTTTGCTAGATGAGATAAGGATAGCTACACAGAGATTCCTAGCATTGCTTCCATGCACAAGTGTATTACAACCCAAGTTGATTCATCTTTACCTGAGT